TAGTGGAGTAGCAGTATCTTAAATGTTAGACGCCCTGCTGCAGACCCAAGGGCCCTGGGTTTGAATCCGCACCGGGGCGATATAGGTGAAAAAATGGGCCATTGCTCCCAGGTCGACCCAGTGTAAAATAGGTACCATGAATTGTCCTAGGAAGTAAAGGCGACCGGCGCGTTGTTGACTACGTCAGCCATTGATTGTCCACTGATCGATACAGACAGAAGTCTAGTTTCGTAAGCCAATGCCTTACTAGCGTGAGATGGTCATTTATTTATTTTAAAGCGAAACATGTAAAAAATGAGACTGACTTCAAGGAAGACAGCATTAAATAGGTAAGGTAAAGTCCTTGGAAGAAAAGTTGACAGGTGTGACGTTGACCACGTTGACGATCTCACCAAGTGCCGATTGTTCTATAAAATACAGTACTAGTACTATTTACTCAAGATGTCTGAAAGCGTGTCAAAGGGTCTTTTTACTTTAAAGTCTAGATACGATTTTTCGTATGTTTGTTTGTTGATTTCGTTCACTGGCTGTAAACCTCAGCGGAAATACCTAGTTGTTCGTCCCTTTCTGAACACTGGCTTCGATCCAGAACCAGAGTTTTGCATGTGCATACGTTTTACAGATTTTGCTTATCTTTGTGCAGACCATTGGTTCCATGCCTTTCAAGCAGATGTACTTCGACTCTGAAGGACGGCTCCAATTAGTCGACTCTTACGACATTGTTGGGGAGGCAGTGGGTCTATTCTTTTTTACCATCACAATGCGACACCGGAACTCACGGAAAAAAAGGGGGTAGGGTGGAAAAAAGGGGGGGGGGGATAAGCAACCAGTATAGATTTGCTTCAGTTTTTGCAGGGGTGGGCGGGGATTTGGGGAGGGGGTAGGATTTCAAATACTGACGTCATACAATTTTATGTATTTGCAGTTAAATCAGTAACAACAGATTAGGTGCTCAAATAACTTAATGCATTAAATAACACAATAAATAGAACTTCTATTTCTGCACACAGTCTTTTAATAGACGTGTAATTCTGTAATTCAGGCGGTTTTATACACTGTAGCACAGAGGTTCCCAAGTTTTTAGACTTGTCAACCCCTTCCTTTACCTTCTAAGTTACACCTGTAGCCTTATTCCACATACCCTCTCGTATTTTATCACCACTGTTGCCCTTTTGTGCCGTTATGTGTCACAGTGTTCGCACTCTTTGCCTCCATCCCATTCTATCCTGTGAAATCCCTTCCGTATCATGGATTGAATTAAGTCCAGCACTGCTGGCCTCTCTCATCGACGATAGTTTTAGGATTTCCTTTGGATGTCCTCGCTTTCTCAGTCCCTTGTCAATTTCTGCTTGTTTATTCTCAAGATGTGTTTACTATTGGGTACTTCATTATTATATCCTAGATGACGTTACAGGACAGTCCAACATTTTAGAGGGTGGTAAGACTGGGTTTCCCGGCTTTCTGATGCTTTTAAATACCCCAAAACATCTAGAACTGGCCCTAACCTCAACTACCTTAAGTCCCACGAGAGAGTGCACCCTAGGTCCCACGACTGCATGCAGCCTAGCTCCCATAACTGCATGCAGCCTATCTACCACCCCCTGAAATATTAGACTGTCCAGTGAACTGTGGATTTCCTCTGTTTGGGGTAGGATATTAATAAAGCACCCACTATTGCGCCATCTTCTTTGTCTTATAACTGTTGTTACCAGTGGTTGCCCAGACATTTCTCTTTTTTTTTTTCTTCACCCCTCTTGAAGTCATTCCATTTTATGTTCAATATCCTCTTATATTTAGTGGAATTCAAAAATAAGAGAATCAGCTTTATCGATTTATATCCCGTATGACAGCTGCTTCCACATGTTAGCTGATCACATACTGAGAACAAAATACGAACTCTGCAGCCTCAGAGACGACCCAGGTGTTCTCTGAAACACAATCCACTCAGAAGACCCAACACAGAACTGGTGTTTCCAGTCGCCACACGATGAGGGATATGGTGAAGATGGGATCCAAGCACTTCTTTCTTTGATAAGCTGCAGTTAGCTTTGGTCAGTAACAGTGAACTGTATGTCAGTTGCAGTGAGCGTCTGGTAAACTGTACTGAACTGTTGTTAGTTTGTAGTGAGCTGCTGGTCAGTTGCAGTGAGCTTTGGTCAGTTACTGTAAACCGTTTGACAGCTGCAGTGAGCGTTTGGTAAATTGCATTGAACTGTTGTTCAGCTGAAATAAGCGTTTGTTAAATTGAATTGAACTGTTTTTTTTAGCTGCAGTGAACGTTTGGTTCAATGTATTGAACTGTTGCTCAGCTGCAGTGGGCTATTGTTCATTGTAGTGAGCTGGTTTTCTATTGCTGTGCCCTAATGGAGTTGTCGAATGTGTAATGAGAATAATCTGTCGATTAACTAACTAATTTTACCTCGCGAACAGAAGTGGTGAGTCCAGGTCTGAACCCACGACCTTTAGGGTCCAAAGTCAACGACTCAAGCTTTTTGCCACAGAGGCTCCCATTTATACATATACACAATATTCGGTACAATATTTTTTGTGTCACCCCAAACAAAGGGAACCAGGAATCCCCAGTCCAGTCCACTATTCTAACAGTGTTATGTTTAGCGTCATCTTTTTCAGTTGTGTGTTTTTATTAGCCTGTTTGGGTCGCTCTTACTTCGTGACTTCGCAATGAAATTTCCTTGACCTGTCAGCATTGATGCATGCATGCCAAGCAGAACAGGGTTGCTTTTCTGCAGCAGCAAAGCATCTTGTATTTATCCAGACGCTGCTCCAAGAATCATCTCATGGTGCTGTCGCTGACTGATCTTCAGGATCATTGGAGATGACGGCGTTTCAACTGTCGAGGAGACTAGGCTCATAGCTGCAAGGCTCGCGTCTGCCTTGAAGACAGAAGGGAACTAACAATATTCCCAGATTAACGCATCTCAAAGTCAACCAATCCCAGAACTTTGTCGACCCCACCACAGGTGCACATACGCAATTCATCGAGCGCTTGCGGATAGCAGCAAATGAGAGAAACAAGAGGCAGAATGGGGCGCATAGGCATCTCTTGAATCCCTCCAGTGCGAGTTTATCTGGCGTAAACGAACTAAAAATGCTGGCCTCGACAAGTTCACAACCATTCTTGCTCTGTTCTGGCCATAACATATTCGAATTAAGTATATTCAATTTCGTCCTTTTTAGGACGAAATTTTTTGTCATTTGAAGCCCTATTCTGGCTTTTGCCAGGGGCCGCAATATAGGCAGGCCATACATATGGCCAAATGTCTGAACGCGGTTTCTGGGACCTCTCCACGGCAATCCTCATCCGCATGGTGGCACTTTGTGTCATCGGGTGTTTATCGCTTGTGTGATGTCCTGGTGGGGTAGAAAGTCAGTCAGTCAGTCTGGCCATAGCAACAACAATAATAGTTGGTCACTGCTAGCCAGCTGGCAGTTCAGTCAGTTGTAAACGCAAAAACATCTCCAGATCTACTAAACGTGTAAAACTGTTTGAATGTCAACAGGTGGGCAACCAAGCAGTAAACATACATGGAGACTGTCAGGTGCCTCTTTTTCCCAAGATGGCCCTTTTCAGGCCCCCCCCCCCCCCCCCCCCCCCCCCCCCCCCCCCCCCCCCCCCCCCCCCCGAAAAAAAAATCACCCCTCTTGACGATTGCACACAGAGTTCGTTCACACAATAAAACACAACACACAAAGAACGTTGCAGCACAGATTCTCACACAAAGGCAGTTGCAGTGCAGTTTGTGAAAAAATGTGGTATGCAATGGGTTTTCCCTGCCAAGTGCACACGCACACGTTTTTGCACATTGTGTGAACACAGAACGAAGTCATGACATGACACCCACACAAAAGTGGACTGAACTGGGAGATTCCGGGGTTCCCTTTGTTTTGGTGATTAAAAATTATTGTACCCAAAATTTTCTAAAATTATTACGATTACCAATTTAAAGAGGCGGCCCACAGTGAGCATCGCAATAAACAGAGCAATGCTAGAACCTAACAAATGTCGCCTATTCAAGACATAAAAACACACATGATGGCTGCAGTAACAACATAGAAAACAAACATAGGATTGGAAAGGCCACAATTATTTTCAATAAGATGAGAAAATTGTTGACAACTATAAAGATAAACGACACACTGAAAATGAGAACTAGTAAATGCTTAGTATTTTTAACGCTTGTGTACTGTGCAGAAAACTGGACAGTGAACAAGAAACTGGAGAATCTAATCTGGTCCCTAGATCTGTGGTTATACAGAAGAATGGGTCATATTTTATGGAAACACAATCAAATACTGAGGTTTTGAAGAGACCGGAAATATCAAAAAGTGTTGAGAAAAAAAAAATAAAAAAGAGGCAACTGAAATCTTTCGGCCACATTAGAAGATATAAGTCTCTATTAAAAACCATACTGGAGGGAAAGTCTCAGGCAAAAGAACAAGAGGCAGACAATAACACAAGTGGAAGGTCAACATTAAAAAGACAGAGAAACAACCGTCTGAGAGAGTTATAGCAGCGGTTCTTAACCTTTCTAATGCCCCGACCCTTACAGTCCATAATTTTGTGGTGACCCTCAACTATACAATTAATTTCGCTGCCACTTTATAACTTTAGTGAATGTGAAACACATGTTGAGAACCGCTGGTGTAAAGCTATGACAGGAGACAGAAAGTATTGGAGATCTATTGCAGCCAAACTTGATTGTGGAGACGGCACCTGACTGACTGACTGAACATTTTGTGTATATTTATTTTAAAAAAAATATAAACTCTCAGAAACATTGGAGTTTTGCATCGCAAATTGGAATCACATTAGAAAAATGCCATTAAAGCATACGTATGTCTTGTGTAAACTTGAGCGCATACAGCATAGTTTTTTTTACCAGAGTCAGGCACATAATACAAATTAAAACTATCCATTTTTGGTCTTTTCTATGTAAAGTGATTGGAAATACTCAAGAGTTAAATAAGATATAACATTATCAAACACTTCTCTCTTTAAGCTCTGTAAATATTTCTAGAAGGGTATTAACCCCTAACAAAAATCCATGATCAGGTCCATAATGTTTGACTGTATCACACAAAAAGCCATCGAAAGTTGCATGTGCAAAGTCCACTATCCGGATATCCACTTTGCTTAGACGTTCTTCTAGTCTTGACCGGTGGTTGTTGGTGTCACCAGGCGGGTCTGTGCCTTCTGGAAATGAGCGATGACATTGGCAGCTACAGTAATTGTCTTTATTGTTACACAGCTGTCTATTTTCACAGAGCCCAGTTAAGTTATTATGTGTTTTATTTGAGCAAACACACGAGTCTGTATTTTCTTGCTCACTATTCCGAATTACGCCTGTGGAAATGTCATTGTTGAGTCCTTTCAGATCATCATTAAATTTAAAATCGACACCTTCCTGCGACTGAAAATCTTCTGAACCTTCTCGAATATGTAAGACGTTGGAAGATCTAGTGTCTTCTTGTTGCTCGAGTGGATCTTCAACACTGCCTTCGTAAATAATTAGCAATGAGCAAGAGTAGAACCGGTAGCCATCCAGTTGCTCGATAACGTTCTTCAGGTCAGTCAGTTGGTGGAGGATTGAACCCACCAGGTCCACTCGGAGATCTTGTCCGCTGAAGAGGAACTGTTCAATCTGTGACTTGAAATCCTCGTCATTCAGTTGTCGTCCATACATTTTGTCGCGGGTTTCACACTCATCGGAAACGACGTCATATCTCTGAAGAATAAAAACAAGAGACAATACGTGAATTATGATTATTGTAACAATTAGTGCTGGTATGTTTAAGCTTTCAGGACGCACAGTTGAGGTGCATGAACCCGGAAACAGATATCTAGTGCCAGAGGTCACCTAAAGGAGGTTAGATATATGTTTCATTACGGAATGAGGGTTACATGATGGGGCGTCGGCCTCACGCTTCAATCCCTAAACTGAAGGACTAGGGGGTCTTTTTTCTCTGCTGGCCACCATGCGGACGAGGTTCACCCGTACAGAGGTCCCAGAAACCCCGTTCAGTCGTTAGGCCAGATTCAGGCCCGGTTATATTTAGGGCCTCCGGCAAAAGCCAGTATGGGGCTTCAAAATAGCTAATAACATTAGGGAATGACAACATTATAAAAAATTGATTGCACTAAGCTTTACAATTTCCTACAATCATCTAACACAGGTTAGGGGAATAACAAAGAACATAACATACTACTGTACCATTTTATTTTTTGAAAACGTCAACATTATTTTTAAAGTCGATTTAATAACATTTTTGTTGCGAGCTATTCTGATGGTGTCAAAGATACGGACTGCAACTCCCCGTTTCGCATTTTTGCGATGCCTGTGAGCTTATGTCAAAATAGTCATTGTATATATTTAGCAACAGTTAAATGCCCGGCTCTCTAGCGTAGTTGGTTAGACCCGACTTCGCGGCGACCGGGTGACGAACTCCTTGTGGTCCCGGTTCACGCCCGGGAGTAGGCAGAAAAGCCAGATTTCTCCCAAATTTACGGTATCTATCATAGAATCAAGGCCAAAGGGTTGCGATATCCATAGTACCGAGCTAAAGGGTTCACAACTCATGGTTTCTGGATACTTAAAAAACAACAGTCGAACGCTGCTTCGTGTTTACAACAACAACAAAAACCTTGTACGCGTATAGCGGAAATAAAGGTTAGTTGCGTATCCTTTACATGACGTTGCAGAAACCCAATCAGCCCCTGGCTTTTGTGTGGTTTTACTAGGCAAATTACGTCCAGTAGTTTGCCATTCCTTGCTGGACGGTCGGCTCTCTGATACCACTGTCGAAACCAACGCAAGGCGTATGGCCCGCAGCTGGGATCGATCCCGGTACCCCGGCATTACGAAGCGTTCGCATCGACTTAGCCACAGAGCCAACATAGCGGAAATACTAGTGGTATTTAAATAATGCGGACACAAACAACACATTGCACAATTATTGTCTGGCATATTTTGCCGTGCGTGGATTTTTGTCGTGGAATGGGACGTCGCAGGTCGACCCAGCCTAAAATGGGTACCAGGATATGCTGTCCTGGGAAAGTAAAGACAGCCGGCGTAATGCTGACAACATTACCCACAGAGTGCTGATGGTCTGTAAAAATATGGGACGCTCTGCCCATATGCCCAATGTGTGGAAGGGCGTGAAAAAGGATCTTTACTTTTTACTTTACTACTTTATATTTTGCCGTATCTCCTCAGGTTCGTTACTACAGTTATTTTAATGTAAAAAAAATGAAGCTCAATATAAAGCTTCTCAGCTGAAATAAACAAATGATAATGTCACTAGTTACACTGTACATCTTATCATTGTATTTTTATGTTAGTAATATTTAAAATTACCATGGAAAAACAATGTGCTGAATGCAGGCATTATATATATATATATATATATATATATATATATATATATATATATATATATATATATATATATATATAAACACACAGCCACATAACTTTAGTCACTTAAAACGTCACCAAAGTTTAGAGAGAACAATAATGGAGGGGTATTTGCCTGGGAAGAGATGAAGAGGAAGGCCAAAGAGAAGATGGGTAGCTATAGATCTCCAGATTGGTGTATCGGACACAGGACATCTTGCTTGTGTCTTCAAGAAAATTTCCAGAGGGTCTTATGGGAGCAAGGTTCTGCAAAAGGATAAGCTACTGACTGACTGACACACATACACACACATGTACACACACATGTACACACACATACGCACATGCATACACCCCCACACCACACACAAACATAATATATGAAATAGCAGTTATCTTAGAACTTTAAGTGTGCTTTCCATTTAAGAATTTGCTTATCTCCTTATTCGACTCATTTCAAAACAGCACAGACCTTGTTTCAACGAATGAATGCTACTTCTACCAAGCATTTAACACACACTTGTGAACGTTGCGTGCAAACTCTTACCGGCTAGCGAAAGTATCAGGCTGTGTGAGCGTAACCAAGGATATGTAGTGCTGACTATTTTGTCCTCTATTAAAAGTAGGTTAGTGGGGCAGCAGGAGAACAAAAATCTTCATGCTCTCATAAACAGACTCGGGGGAAAAAATACATGAATTCACAATAACTGTGTACTCATTTTTCCGAGCGGGTTTCACGGCTCCGCTGTTGGAGCACACAGAATAGACCAATGCTTCTTAATAAGCATGTCGCAAAAGGCGTTAGACAAAGATTTAACGAAAGTAGATGTTTTTGGCCGAAAGGCGCAGCATCACCCTTTTGATGGCGAACGAGAAAAAGAAGTAATAGTTATTAACCAAAACAGCTGTACACTCGTTCTTGATAATTTCGTAATAACTCACTCAATAGAAAATAACTGACCGTGATATCTGTTGATTTCATGTTTGAGGTTTTGAACAACGGATCAACATCATGACACACGGGTAGTAACCCAAAAGTGTTCCGTTCATCTTCTAACTCAAGTCTGAGTCGGAAGAAGCGCAGCACAGTGCACAGGCTCTGTAGCACCGGCGAGAATCCTGAAATACTTTGGATAGATTTTTAACTCCGAATTTTGCTCGGACAGCCCCGTTAGGCTACTCTTTTCGATTTCCAACTGCCAAGGGATTTTTTACAACAACGCACACGGGCGTCCGATCTGACTACCCAGAGATTAGGGGGAGTTCCTAGAAGTCCAAGTCCACATAAAAAAAATCCCAACCCTTACCGGTGATTGAACCCGGAACCTCTAGCAATAGCAGCGGACACCATGCCACGCAGCATCCTTTGTTGATTTCAAACGCAGTGTCACACAGGGCAGTAGAAAATTAACTCCCTATTTTAAAAATACTTTAAATATACATTAATTATTTATGGTAATATTTCTCTCATTTCTCTCATATTTCTCTCATTTTGTTTTCAGCATATCTTCAGTGTATAAGAATGTCATTTGTCAATTTAATCTGTTTTTATATCTGTGTTTTAAAGTGATTATGTTGTTTGAAATTTGGAAATTCTACAAACATAACTGGACACGAGAAATTATTTCTTTCACTCCACAAGAGTTCATGGTGCAATCGTTTGATTTCCAGAAACTGGTAGCGAAATTTGGTGCCCATTTCTAATAGAAAGAACTTCGCGTTAAATGCGTTATTCTTATACTCATTGCTTGTTTTAAATATATATACAAACACACTCCACACACTTACTTAATGAAGTATAGGTATTCTAAAATGGGTTGTTTTTACACACACCCACACTGACCAAATTCTTACTTTAACTCACGTTTTATATTATTATTATTTCAACTCCTCAGGCCGAAACATTTACTAAACTAACAACGTTTTAGAAATGCAGGAATTTAAAACTATGATCTGCTTGGTATTGAATGTGACACTCAGTAACAGAATAACTCGCATTCATGACAATTACATATTATTAGCAGCTAAAGACGACTGCAAGAAAACCGCACGTTCAGGAGATTTGCGGTGAAAGCTAAAGCAGTTATTAACTAGAAATAAAATCAATATATAGGAGGTGATAGAATATGGCGATGTAATCTTTGATAATACATGTATTTGTTTCAAAAGCTAACATTTTCTCTTTCTATTGAGAATGACAAATAAATAACGTTTTAAAATAACGTTTAAAGATAAATTCAGTCAAAATAAACCTTGTATGGTTTGTATGGTATATCAACATCATGTAGCACGTCCTTTGCAGGACGTCGCTCTCATCACAGCCTGTTTTAAAGAAACTCGTTTTCTCGCGAGACCTCCCTTTCGTACACTTTCCTACCCAAGGTTGTGTGCCTTGTTAAAGAGCCGTGGCAAAAATACCTAATAATATATATATGAATAAATATGAAATGTACTTAAAATTACTTTAAGAGATTTCTATACATGTTTAAGGGACCACTTAGACGCCGTATAAACGTTTGAGGAAACATTGGGAAAAAAAGGGGGGGGGGGGGTGTGAGTACTCAATGGGTGCTCCGTGTTCCAGTGCCGCTGATGTCCACTTATGAATGTACTCTCTCTTAACTAAAAACCCACCTTCATCCCACACAATCTCAGCCCTAGGGAAGCTGACGTTGTGGTCCTGCACTTATTGACCTGGTAGGCCACCTTCTCTGGAGGTGCATCGTCTCCGTGTTGGCGTACACCTATCTTGAGATCCAGGATACACGGGTTCTGATAGCGGGACATGAGATCTTCAAGTAGCATGAAATCTGGGCAGAGTTAAGGTAATCTGAGGAAAGTTGTGGAATACCTAGAAATAATTACATTAGGAACAGAGAGAGAAATGATTACATTGAGAACAGAGAAATGAAAAGATCAGGGCTGAGAAAAAGGGTTTAGTTGCGTGTGTTTGGCTATTTGTGTTTTCACTAGGCAATTCTACATTCAGTAATTTGCCATTGCGTACGTAACGGTGGGCTATCGATACCACTATTGAAACCAGGTAAGGCGGTCTGCAGCCAAATCATCCGCTGGTGGAATCCAATCCGGCACCCCAGAATTACGATGCGCGTTCGCAACACCCAAGTAAAACAAGCTGACATAAGGCTGAAACCAGTCGTATAATTTACAAACGAACAACACAGGAAATGGTTTGGCCATCTGAAGAGAAAAGCATGGTGACAACTGTCACAGAGAGCGCGCTGAAAAAAAAAGCAATGGACACATGGAAAATGTAGACGGCTCAAAAATGGAGCGACAGCATCAAGAACAACAGTAGAGAAACGAAGACAGTCTTACACATTTATTAGACAGAGCACACTGATGATTCTTACACCGGCTCCCCAACAATGTCGGAGGTAACTGATGTAAGAGAAAGAGGAATATGGAAAATTAGCAGCGTCTTATCTAATCCATAAAGAAAAGAGGGAATATAAAACGTAGGTAAAAAAAAATAAAAAATAAAGGACCTTTTCCCACGCCTTTAGGCGTATAGGGCATATTTAGCTAAACCTATATTTTATAGTCCAATCGACACAAGATGGTTAATGTGGTTAGTATCACGCCGGCCGCCTTTACTTCCCGGGACTGCACCCGGTACCCACACAAGGCTGGGTCGACCTGAGAGCCAAGGTCATTTTTTTTAAAAGTCCGGCTTAACCAGGGAGCGAACCCACGACTTTCCGATCCGCCGACGAGTGTCTAGCAGCTCCGCCACGGTGACTCCCAATATAAAACATAAGAGTTTAAAGAGGAGAGTAGTTCACAGAGACTTAAGATCTTATTCCTTAGAACATTGTAGCCACAGGATCTGTCCGGAAAAGAATAAATATATAAAGGGATTAGGTGAATTGGTTCAGTGCGTATACTGACTGACTGACTATCGAGCCCACCAGGACATCACACAAGCGATAAACACCCGATGACACATGTGGATGAGGATCACCGTGGAGAGGTCACAGAAACCGCGTTCAGACAATTGGCCATATTTATGGCCTGCCCATTTGCGGTCCCTGGCAAAAGCCAGGGTGGGGCTTCAAAAAACAAAAAATGTCATCCTAATAAGGACGAAAGGATAACTACTATCTCTCTATTAATCTAACAGCGCGTATACTGTATACTCCGCTGAAAACTGAAATTCAGAAGATGAAAAAAAAAAGTGGTTGATATTAAACTACTTAATACAAACCAAATAAGATTTATTTTTGAAGTAGATTTACATAAACACGTCTCCTTTTAACAAATAATTCTGTCATTAATTTATTATATTATAAAATTATTGTTATTATTTTGTTTATTGTTTACCTGACAAACTGGCAATAATTAGTCACCACTCATCTCTGTCAAAGTTTAACTTTTTTAGTACCGGCAACTCACCCCACATTTTTTCATCAGCTTATATAGCGTCCCTTTGATATTTTCTCCAGTTTTGCCGGTGTGTTAGGAAATGAGCAGGCAGATTGACTGGTGGGCTCCGCACCACTTGCTAGTGAATTGATGTATGAGAAGCTGGATATTGTGGGGCCCCTTTAGGAGTGAATAAACAGTGTGGAGGCACAGATAGATGATTATGGTCTGAGGAGGATGGCGCTGCGAGGAGTTCCAAGGGAATCTGGCAAATGCTCAACACTCAGGGGAAAGGCGAGATAGATATACAATCAGACAGTTACTGGTGCATTCGGAATTGCAACTCTTTGTTCGCTGAGGAAGATGGGGACTGAGGGCTTATGGGGGTGTCCAGAGTGCTGTGATGTCGATTCTTACATACAACATTACGTTTAAATGTTCTATATTCTATCACACGTAAGGCACATTGAATTTGTGCAACGCATTGTTGTCGCATTATTTAGATAAACTAATAATCAACAAGTCAACGAATAAGACAGTAGTAACGGGATTGAATATCACCTGCTGCTGAGCTAGAGTGTAAAGCATGTCACTTAGTTGTGGTCACACCTATCGTAGTTTCATATAACCATGTAGTTTTCATGAGCCACTTAAATACACTTCTCGTTTGCCCTGCACTTGACAATTCTATACATAGCATAGTTACACATTTACATAAGGAGTCATAGACCTAAGCAGTATACTTTCAGGTTCAGGGCGAAATCTAGTATCAGATTACGTAAACTACAATCTATTATTATTTCTCTACTTCTGGAATCGGCGTCTGTGGCTTGGGAGTTGCGAACACGCTTCGTAATGCTGGGGTGCCAGGTTCGATCCCAGCTGCGAAAGGTTTGTCTTGCGTTGGTTTCGACAGTGGTACCGAGACCTGACCGTTCAGAAGCAATGGTAAACTACTAAACGTAACATAGGCTTATAAAAACCACAACAGCCAAAATATTCCTGGGCTGGTTCTGCAACGACCTGTAAAGGAAAGGCAACTAACTTTTTTAAATTTCTAGAATGTCTTGCAGCGTCAGGAAGGAAGGAGATATCCGGATTGGACCCTTCTGTTCGTTTTGTATGTAATAGTTTTGTTTGTAATAGTTTTGTATGTAATAGTTTTGTATGTAATATTTTTCAGTATCTATTTCCGCAGTCCATCTTCGACGTGGTTGACCCCTGAATCTGTTACCGCTTTATCTGTATAACACCAATGTCTGTGGGGAGCTATCTGTTGCCAATCTTGTTACATGGCCAAACCATTTGGATCTGCTGTCTACTGATAAAGTTAAATATTGGTTCTGTGCCGACTCTACTCCTAATATCATCATTCCTAAGCCGATCTTTGCTTATTACACCTACCATGATGTGTAAACATTTCATTTCTGTCGTGACTATTTTTCTTCTGTCTTTTAAAGACAATGTTCATGTCTGTCTGTCTGTCTGTCTGTCTGTCTGTCTGTCTGTCTGTCTGTCTGTCTGTCTGTCTGTCTGTCTGTCTGTCTGTCTGTCTGTCTGTCTGCCTGCCTGCCTGCCTGCCTGCCTGCCTGCCTGCCTGCCTGCCTGCCTGCCTGCCTGCCTGCCTGCCTGCCTGCCTGCCTGCCTGCCTGCCTGCCTGCCTGTCTGTCTGTCTGTCTGTCTGTCTGTCTGTCTGTCTGTCCCTTTAACTCTTTCAGTTCCTTGAAATCATAACTTTAGTACGCTCTAACTAAAGTAGTTCTTACTTGAAAATAATTAGTGCTAGACTTAAAATAGTTCAAACACCTTTGAACAATAGAGGCTAACTTGCCATTCAGGGGAAAAGTGAGTTAACGCAATATTGGATAATGCACACGGTTTTTAGAACTACATATCATACATTGCAGCTAAAGGGTACTACATGAGAACAGCAGGCCTCACGGCAAGAGGTAGGCCAAGAAAGATATAGGTTGAGGGAGTCAAAGAGACACTATGGTTAGTTGCGTATCCTTTTACAGGACGTTGCAGAACCAACCCCAACAGCCCCTGGCTGTTTAGTAAAAGAGACACTGCACATAAGTAATTTGACATTAACACAAGGTGCCAACTAGCAAAGGACAGGACAGTACATCTAATTCCTCTCTGCAACGACAAAAGCAGTATGACAAAAGAGGAAGAAGAAGATCATACACGGAGTCACCAATAAACGCGCAACGAGTCGCTTGGTACGGAAACAGTTAAAGGATACAGTAGAGATTATCCTGATTATTTCCGCCGACACTAATCCTGCTGGTTTTCTGTAGAACTTTCATGCGACGCTGGCTGATCCTGAAGCCTTCTTTGGGCTGGTCAGTCGCTGGACAATGGTCATGTGTGGCGGCCACGAGAAGTCTCGGCGACGAAGGACCGTGGGTATGTAGTCTAGAGCATGAACAGTCTATGGGACAGTCGTCACAGGCAGTATCTGGAATGTAAAGCTGGATCACACCTGGGGATAAACAATACAAACCTTCAAACGGAGTTTATACATTATCTAGTTGCGAGGAAGTCTTGAAAGACACTAACTTGCGGAAAGAACTGATTGCCCACATCAGAAAGAGACAATCTACATTCTTTGGTCATGTGATGAGAGGGGAAAAACTGGAGCACATCGTTACAGTAAAAAGTTGGAGGGGAAGATAGGCAAGGGAGGCGAGAGAAAAGATGCTGGACAGCCTGACATCATGGAATGGAGGATCACCTGTGTCAGAGTTGAATGAAAACACACGAGACGGATGGTTGGGGATAAACATGATTCCCATGCGACACGGCATGGACTTTAACTCTTTCAGTCCCAAGCAACTCACTATGTGTTTGTCGGTCTCTGGTAATATACTTCAATTTATGTAACTCCTTACACCCCAGCCAGTTTGTACACCACCTCATTCTATACCTATGGTTACTTAAACCCTTTCTGTCACATACGATTTTGATTACTTCAAGTAAAAATATTTATTAGTTAAAATGAACATTTCTTATGACATCATGAAGTAAAATAACACGTGTCTGGGACTGAAAGAGTTAGGAAGAAGATACATCATCTGGTCAGAGTTTCCTCTTCTTCTTTGCGTTTATCGATTACAAAGGATAAAGTCGGGAGACGTGAACCAGCGTCACTGCACACGGTTATAAACCATAGGTATTCTGCCACCAGTACGGACAGCTGATAAGAAACTATCTGCCTGTGTCGCCGTCCGCACACAGCTCCGGAGCTACAGCGACGTTCCTCCATTTACCCCCGAGTGTCAACTCTGGTACCCATTTCCTTGAGGCTGGGTGAACCCCGGAAACCGTCCGGTTTCGAACCATGGCCGTGGGCTGCAGTGACTGCAAACTCATGGGGAAAGCTCTGGTTGTTTGTCAACTTGCGGACTTCAGTCTTGTCCGAGAACTTGAGTTTTGCGTGAGCATCCGTTTTACAGATCTGGCTTATTTGTAAGCACACTGTTGGTTTTTCGCCTCCCATGAAGATGCACTCCGATGTCAAGGAAATATTCTAATTATCAGACTTTTACGGCACTCTTATTAGGGGACGTTTGTGGCTTAGGTGTTGCGAACGCGCTTCGTAATACTGGGTTCAATCCCAGCTGCTTACAATTTGTCTTGCGTTGGTTACGACAGGGTCACCGACAGCTGACCGTTCAGCAATAAAGGCAAACTACTGAACGTAACATTTTCATAGAGAAACCAGAACAGCAATTAAAAAAAATGCTGGGGTTGGTTCTGTAACTTTCTGTAAAGAACAAGCTACTAAAACGAAAATTACATTTGTAAAACAAATAGGAATTAGCTGAAGATCCGGTATATAGTTAAGCCCTTAACTGTAGCTTATTTTGCTTCAGCCTAATTCCAGCAGTCGGCTCTGTGGTTAAGTCGATGTAAAAGCTTCGTAATGCCGGGATGCCGGATTCGATCCCAGCCGCGGGCCATGCGCCTTGCGTTGGTTTCAACAGTGGCATCAAGAAAGCCGACCGTCCAGAAGCAATGGCAAACTACTCGACGTAAATTTGCCTAGAAAAACTACACAACAGCCAGGGGCTGTTGGGGTTGGTTCTGCAATGTCCTGTAAAGGATACACGCAACTAACCTAATTCCAGCACTGCAGGGGGGTTCCTTCGAAAAATGGCCACATATTATGGCGGCCAAAAACAAGGCCTTGGTAACATGTAAATTGCGGACTTCCAGGGACTATACCGCCAACATCAAGGGTATCTCCCGTGCCGCTACGCGCGGGCGGCGCGGAGCGGAGCGGGGCTAAACTAGATCGCTGGAACTCACGAGCAAAGTTGCAGCGGCGCGGGAGATACTCTCGGCGGTGGCGGTTAAGTCGCCGGAAGTCCGCAATTTGCATGTGACAGAGGCCCTGTCAGAGTGTGTTTTGGGCCGCCTTAATATGTGGCCGTTTTTCGGAGGATGGCCGTAAATTATGTACATCATGTTCACAAACTGAAACATCTGCCGCACTGAGCACATTATGATTCACTGCTGGCTCCATGTATAGTCATTAAAAATGATAATAATAAGCATTGTTACTGAACTGTGTACTGGTTGCTGCCCTCGTGATATACTGCTATTTCCCTTCGGTGTAGTGTTGTACTTCATCAACATATGTGTCTAGTTATTCTGATTCATTGTTTACAGTAGGTAAGCTTTCTCTCATCGTTTCAGAGAGATACATTTTGCTGCCCTTAACTCATTCAGTACCAAGAGTTCCCCAAGGGTTTCTTAAACTCTGCGGACCTGTTCAAGTTTCCCGGCTCATCAAAGTCCGATCTAGGTCAAATGGGTGTTACGTTGTACTGCCTTCTTCCGAAAGAGTCTCTTGTGACCTAGGCTGAGGGTGTGGGTGGGAGGGGGGGGGGGTTAAGGGCCATTTCTAGATGTTCTGGGGTCTTTGAAAGCTGTGTCGTCGTGCAGAATAGAAAACGCGACATCGGCGCTGATGTAAATGAAGGCAAGACAACTTGGCACCTCTCCGACGTAGAAGAGTCTGAGAAAGTATAAATAAAAGGTCAGACTGTGTAGACGGGCCAGGAAACATTAACATGACCAACTCTACTTTTATGCTGCATAAAATGGTCATTGAGCAGGTGGGCGGTCATGCTTCCTTCTTTTTAAGGGGGGGGGGGGGAAGGGTAAGTGTAAAATTTTACTCTACAACAGTGGCTCTCAAACTCCCTAATGCCGCGCCCGTTTAATACAGTTCCCTCAAGTTGTGGCGACCCCCAAACAATTATTTTCCTTCATAACTTCAACGAATATGTGTTTTCCGATGGTCTAGGCGACCCCTGTGAAGGGTCATTCTACCCAAAAAAGAGTCATTCTACCCAAAAAAAGGGTCGTTCTACCCAAAAAGGGGTCGTTACCGACATGTTGAGAACCGCTGCTCTACAAAAAAAAAATGACATAATCTTTCCATGTAGACGTTGCAATGAAAAAAAAAAGGGGGGGGGGGGGGGGGGATAGGGGAACTGTTCTAGCTTAGATATCAGCATGAAGACAAATTTGTGAAAACTGATCTTTAGGCTGGCTGAGCCAACCTAACATCTATGCAAGGAAATTCACTGGAAAGTGAAAGCCGCTTCCATGGTGATGGCCACCTCATCCATCGAGTACCAATTAATCTGTCACACTAAAGAGCTTCAAATGAAAACCTTGAAGTGGCGCTAATGGCGTTGAAAGTCTGTTTTGACAATTTAACTAGTCGAACTTGACACCCCACATTGTGCCAACGGCTTCGGCAGCGGAGCGCAGTTAGCAGGATATTGAGATTTATCATGGATTGAGAAAATGCAACAGAAACCCTAATGGCATGGCAGCTGGTCTGAGAGGAAAGCTCTGGCAGGCCGACAAGCTGAGCGCTGATTTTCTTTTTTAGTAGCTTCTGACTTCATTAGTGTTACCTTTTCTTTGGAGTAAACAAGACAGGAGAGACACACAAAGAGAGAGAGAGAGAGAGAGAGAGAGAGAGAGAGAGAGAGAGAGAGAGAGAGAGAGAGAGAGAGAGAGAGAGATCATGCTGCTGGGTAACGCATGATCTCCTCTGTACTGTCCAAAGTTTGAGGACTTCACCCATCGCCATTCAAACTTCTACTGACTCCATCAGAATTGGAACTCTTCTCTTGCTGCTGAAGATGAGGACGGAGTGCTTATAGAAATGTCTCGAGTGCTGTGATGTCAGCTTCTAGTTCTACACAACACTCATCCATCGACATGGGCTGTGATTCCTACACCTTCCTTTAGTACAACATAATCATCAGTAAGGATGGAAAGATGCAACCGCTGTTCTCATTTGAAAATCCGGTTACACTGTCAATTCTTCCTCTTCTTCTACTTCTTGTTCTTCCTCTTCCTTTTCTTCTTCTTCTTCTTCTTCTTCTTCTTCTTCTTCTTCTTCTTCTTCTTCTTCTTCTTCTTCTTCTTCTTCTTCTTCTTCTTCGTTTTTCTTTTTCTTTTTCTTTTTCTTTTTCTTCTTCTTCTTCTTCTTCTTCTTCTTCTTCTTCTTCTTCTTCTTCTTCTTCTTCTTCTTCTTCTTCTTTCTTCTTCTTCTTCTTCTTCTTCTTCTTCTTCTTCTTCTTCTTCTTCTTCTGCCTTTCTAACTCTAAATGGAGCATAGGCCCGCAACCAACTCACGCTAAATCGTTCTATTTTTTCAACTTCACCCTCTAGCTCCCTCCTACGTGTGTTATGATGGTCTTCCTTTAATTCTATGCCCCTGTGAGTTCCAGTGCACAGACATTCTAGTTATATTGTTCTCATGTATTCTTAACTTGTGTCCTATCCAACGCCAGCGTCTTTCCGTTCCTCCTGGTTCCCTGGAGCTTGTTTAGTTCTTCCCCAAAGCTCGGCATCAGTGATTCTATCATGCCATTCAATTCCTTCTATTCTGCGTAGGCACCTAAAATGAATATTTGTAGTTTATTTTTAATTGCTATCAGTTAGAGGCTGTGTTAATCAACGTGACAGGAAAAGTAGGATGTTGGAATGTTATTAATATGGCAAATCGTATGCAAGGCATGCAGAACAGTGTTCTTGTTTACTTGTTTCATGCTGAAAATATCAAACAAATCTCTCCCTCCACAATGTCAACGGTGGATTATTTTAATACTGGAATTCGAAACAAACGTCATTTGAAGATAACGAGTTGAGTTGAGTGGTGTCAAGATTTGACATCATAGCACTCAGGCCACTCCTATCTTCAGCAGCAAGAGCAGAGTTCCAGCACTAATGGTACCGGTTGTAGTCTGGACGTGTTCGTCTCACCTTTCCTCTGAGTGTTATTGAAGTCAGATTCCGATACACGACGCTGTTTATGTGCTGGTTTTCTTCTGTGTTTGCATTTTGTTGAATGTCTCTATTTTAACACTCGGACACACTCATTTTTGGACTTTGTGTCCACTTTGTGACTCTTTGAAAACAAAGTTCGTTCGTTTGTTCGTTCGAGTGTTCATCCTAACAAACACACATCTAGCACCACAAGCCAAATGCCCCATGGCATTCAGAAGCGTGGGGTCCAAATGGAGCAATCATGCGCAATACAAGGCTCTTAATGTCTATTAGCCTCTCTTGCTCAAGCCTACCTCACCTTCACGTGGTGGACCCTGTTCTTCCCAGCAATCCAGTTGAAGGTTGGGGTCTCAACCCCCAGCGGGAAACTGGATGGGATAACAAACGAGGTAAAGGCGAAAGACGAAGGCATGAGCCTACTCTCCTCGAGTATGACCACAGTCTACCCTGGCAAAAAAAGGGGCTGAAGTCGGAGGCAACCAGCCAAGAGGCGCACCACAGCAATCAGGATGCCACGCACACACGCCATGGAAATATGTGGCGAACGAAAGAAGAAGAAGAAGATTCAGAAGCGTCCATGACTTAGCCCTTACAGCCATGCTATCAAATCCTTCTTTTACCCACACACTAACTCTAACTTTTTTTCAATGTTATGTCGTCTCCACAATGAAGGTTGGCTATAGTCTTTCGGAATAAATACTACGCGGTGAAGTTTTGGTTCTTTCATAATATCCTACCCTAGATGACGTCAAAGGACAGTCCAACATTTTAGAGGGTGGTAAGACTGGGTCTCCCGGCTTTCTGATGCTTTTAACGACCCCAAAACATCTAGAACTGGCCGTAACCCCAACCCACCTACGTCCCACGATATATTGCAGCCTAGGTCCCGCGACTGCATGCAGGCTAGGTCCCACGACTGCCTGCAGCCTATCTACCACCCCCTGAAATATTTGTCCCGTGACCTATGGATTTTCCCCTGTTTGGAGTAGGATATTAAGAAAGCACTGAAGTCTCCCCCCACGGTGTAACTCTCGTACTATTGTCCGAAAACCACGATAGCGACGTGTGTATTGTAACAGTCCACCTAAAAAAACAAATCCCAGTACTCAAGTATCGTGAAGTTTAATCTGAATACTCACCTCGATATTCTGGAACAAAGGGACGAAGAAGCTCGGGCATAACTTGGTAGAACTGGTATTCTCTCTGTATCAAACACTTGCAGATTGTGGTCTTGTTGTAGTGCAGAATCAAAGACTGCCCAGCCACCTGGTGGTCAAACGGCCTCAGTGCTCGAGATGTAAGTATCCGTGCAGTCTCTTGGTTCTTCATGGGAGACTCCTCTGCCGTGGCCATGGTTCCTATTAATAATATAAAGTAAACAAGTAAAGTAAAGATCAATTTTTACGCCTTTAGGCGTATCAGACATATGGGAGAAGCTCCCTAATTTTGTTACAGTCGGCACTAGGTAGGTAATGCGGTCAGTATTACGCCGGCCGTCTTTGTTTCCCCAGGACAGACATTCTGGTACCCATTTTAGGCTGGGTCGACCTGCGACGCCTCATACCGTGATAAAAATCCACGCAGCCAGCAGTAGGTTTCGATCGCGGTACGTTGGAATTACCGAGTCGGACTCGTTACGTCTAAGCCACGGACGCCGCTAGTTAACAATATTGGGTGTCCCATAAGTTTGCATACATAGGAAAAATAAATATATTTCTATCGCCGTTACAAGCATAACAACAGCTGTGCTTTTACGCTTTTGCGGCAGTGGAGGACACGCATGGAAATGTCTTTTTTAAACAATGGTATTTTTCCAATATGTGGAAACTTTATGAGCATCCTCTATAATTTGTGTGTAAAAGTGAAGTTAGATCTATAGGAAACGAGTGGGGTGCTGAGGTATGGTCATAGCAAAAGTAGCTTGAAGAGACAATTATGCTGGTAAAATATGTCATCATCATATAGAAGGTAGGTTACAGAACGTCGCTCCCATTACTACCCACCTGAAAGGAACTCTATCACTCGCCAGCTCTCTCATCTCGTATACGTTCCGCACACGAAATTTGAATTGGCGCACTTAGAAAAGAGCAACATGTTTACTGTAGGTCGGTTAAGACAGACGGAAGCTAATTTTTAATCCAGTCACTTGTCCATTATTTACTTAGATGAACGAGGAGCGGCTGGTCAAGCGGTTGTAACATCGGGCACTCATGCGACAGACCTGGGTTCGACTCCCAGTAAGGTGATTTTTTTTAGTCGAGGGAAAAAAATAAACACCCGAACCTGCACAGATAATTATCTAATGAAGAATGATGAGAATATCCTAGACAGATTTAAAAAAAAAAGTAATGATTGTGTCTTGTAAGAAACTGACTCACGAAAAAAATTAATTGCCCATATCAGAAAGAGAATCTACATCATTCGGCCATGTGATGTGAAGGAGAAAATTGGAGTACATCGTGACATTAGGAAAATTAGAGGGAAAGAGAGGCAGGTGGATATCTAGATAATAGATGATGGGCAGTTTTACATCATGACATGTAGGATCATCTGTGTCAGAGATGATTGAAAGGACACGAGACAGAAGGTTGTGGATAGACATGACTACAAACGCCATACGGCATGGACTTTAACAAGACGAAGACCCTGCACAATCCGTGGCGACAGCACTAGACATGTGGTCCTGTACTTAGCTCATGACTCCTCTGTCTTAGTTACTTGCGTATCCTTTACAGGACGTTGCAGAACCAACCCCAGCATTTCTTGGCTATTGTGTGTTTTCTAGGCAAATTTACGTCCAGTAGTTTGCTATTGCTTTCTGGACGGTTGGCTTCTGGATACCACTGTCGAAACCAAGGCACAAGGCCCGCAGCTGAGATCGAACGTGGAACCCCGGCATTAAGAAGCGCGTTCGCAACGCCTAAGCCACAGACGCCTCTGTTTATATTACCTTAAAAAAGCGGTCAATAAAGACAGTAGTGACGGCGACTCACGCGAACTCGCCGAGACAGTCTGAAAACGGTAATAAATAGAATGCTCCAGAAACACAGTTCATTTGCTGAAAATACCAACCTAACGATACATCCAAAATATGGTAGACTGTACACAGATCGGTTACTATATTTATTTATTTATTATCCTCCCAGTCCGCATCCGGATGTATTTTCATAGATGACCTACGGATTTTAGATTTATCCAGCCTAAATCCAGAACACAAAAAAAAAACGAGATCAATGTAAATGCATGAACATCTACGCCAGCTGGAAAAGCACTTGATGATGATGAAAACGAGTACAAGGGAATGCAATATGAAGTAAAGGCGGCCGTCAAGATTGTGATCACATACTTGTCTAGTACCAGTTGTTGTATAATATAGCAGTCTTGCTCCAAAAGCTCGGCGGACTAGTGGTGTGGAATGGTTATTTTCATTTACAATACTTGGTTACTGTACGTAAAAGTGCCTGTAAAATGACCAACAGCCAACGAATGCGACGTCCTGTAAAAGGCAAGCTACTAAACTGGTTAATTTGTTTTCCAGCCGTGTAATAAGAGTTGAAGGTAAAGAAGACAGATGTAAAAACACCATAAAATCTACTCTTTCGGGATTTAGGTTCAGATTCCAGAGAAGTCATTGCAGACAGCAAATTCACACACACTGGTGCACTTCTCTAAAATAAAATTATACAACAGAGAGAACATAAAACTAACAAGTCTGAGCAAAGGTGTCACTACAGAGGCGTAGCTGGGGCGTGGCTGGGGCGTGGCGGGGGAGAGGAGCAGCACCGGGCTGACATTACTGAGGGGATGAAAAATGGCAAAAATAAGCCTTTTTAACAGTTCCCAAAAAACGTGAGAGAGAAAGTGTGTGTGTGTGTATGTGTGTGTGTATGTGTGTGTGTGTAAGTGTGAAGGAAAAGTGTCGGCACGGGTGCTACCTGACCTCGCAATGGCACTAACTGCGGCAGGAAATTTTCCTCACTGAGTAAAACCTGACCCTGACACGCCACTGCGTCACAACACTTTGAATGCCGGCCACAATGAATGCAAACGAGTGGCTAACCTTTATTTTTTACGTGTCACGTAATACTTGAATTTGTACTTGATTTTCAAAACAAAACAAAAAAGTAAAACAAAACAAAAAACTTAGACCACGTTCAATCCGCTTTTGTAATGTGTTACTGGTCTGTGCGGCTTTTCTTCTTTGCGTCAGCTTAATTGTGCTTTACGATTTCCGGTTTTTGCCATTCGTGTTTATGCGGGTCCTGGGCTGTGTCTCACTGCTGTCAGGGGGTGTTTCTATCTTCTTTGTGGTTTGTGGCTAAAGCAGCCCTGATTAGGACTCCCCTGGTAATATTCCCGTTGGCTTCGTCTGGATTATTTATGCCTAGTCACAATTGTCACCTAAAGATTTCCATTAGGAAATTCTGGTTGAACGTGACGTTACACATAGAGCATTAAGGTTCGTGCGCGTTTCCATCGCTAGATTATGTATTAGGTGCTTTGCTGGGGGTGGGGGGGGGGGGGAAGGATCGTCACGTTCAACCAGATCATATAAAGGGCAGCTTTAATTTATAACTGTGGCTAGGTACAATCCAGACTAAGCCAATGGGAAAGTTTACATTAAATAATTGTCGCAATAAATAGAGAAATGCACCATAATCTGGGCCGCCAACGTGACTGTTATATTAAACATTGTAGTCATATTGGCAACTGAAAATTTAACCCGTGTATTGGTCACGGTTAGGGAGAATGTAACACTTTATTTACAATAAACACACGAAATACATAAATATTTTTTGATTTATAGTATAGACAACGATTACTCCCTCATTTCTGGTAACTGGATTTCCTGTGTATACAGTGTAGTTTTTAGTGTGTGGAGCTTTAAACTTTGTTTTATGTGGTAAACATTTAGTTCAGAATTATGCCATCATTTTCAAAACAAAAGAGTAAAACCGCAAAAAAGCAGGTATTTAGAAGGGACCAGTTTACTTCTGCTTCTAAGCGACCTAAACTGATAAGACTTTCAATCGTTGCCTCCTGTGTTCCCAGTTGATGTCGACGCTCAGTACGTGCCAAGTTTCTAATGAAGAAAATTTGTAAGCAATTTCAGAATCTGTCAGGCCCACTTCCTCAGAAAAGTAAGCGTTAATGGGTAGCATTATGAATGAATGAGTAGTAGCTGGCTTGCTGTCTGGTTCATTGTATGATTGGTTTGGTAGTAAACAGCACAGCTTGCTGAATCAAATGTACAAAAGACATTCGGAAAAAAGTATTATGTCTTTGGATTAACACACGAACGTATGGTGGGCTGACTGGTACAGAAAAAGAAATTGCAACAATCTTCGTCAGAATAGGCGTCAATAATAGTAAGCACCACAAAGTACACAACAATAAACACACACACACACACACACACACACACACACACACACACACACACACACACAAAAGGATAGCTCCTTAGTGCTAGCAGGATCACAATCAATTTTAACAAAAGTCATAAGTACATCAACAATATGGAAATAAATACTAGTACAATGGAATCCAAAATCAACGTTAGCTGAGATAACTTAGAGCCTAAAGGAGTTAACTTACTAACAATTCACTCATTCATGATCCAACTGTGTCATCACACGTCACACAGGGCTCGCAGATTATTCCTCTATTCTGTTTTATCTTGTGCAACCTTTGCCAGCAGTTTTGGCCTCCACATCAACATTCGTCTTTGTGTGTCCTCGCTTACTTCTTCTTCTTCTCTTCCACCTAGTACCTCATCGAAGTGTCGGGCGGAGATGTAATGTTCGTTGATGAGCTCTGTCAAGAGCACTATTAAGACTGATGTTCATTTCTGTCAGGCTGTTATTAATGCAATCACTCCATATCTTCCGAGGTCTTCCACTCGCTCTAAACCCGTTGTAACGTTTTAGTGTGGCTCGCTGTGGCAGATAGTACCAGGGCATTCTTGTTAGGAGTACCAGGGCATTCTTGTTAGGTGTCCAAACCATTTAATTTGTTGTTCTTTGATAACCTTTAAGACTCCTCGCTTCCCTAATCCCCTTATTTCTCATGTTAGGGCCTGTTTGATGATTCTCTGCAGGTGTCTGGTTTCTTCTCAGGATGTGTCCAATATAGTGCCATTGTCTCTGTCTTTTAACTGTTGATACTAGTGGTTGCCCAGAAATTTATATTACTTCTTTACTCCTTAGAGTTGATCCCATTTTATTTTCATCATTTTCTTCAGACATTTGTTTTCGAATGCATTTAACTTTCATTCCATGTCTTTAGTGGTTCTGGCTGACTTTCTACCCCACCAGGACATCATACAAGCGATAAACACCCGATGACACAAG